GTGTCGATTTCGAGATCTCAGCCAGGAAGACATTACAGTAGCCCAGTAATAAAAATGGCAGCTCCTGGTAACGTTTCGCTAGAAAACCACTCTTTCCGCGAGGTAATCTGTGCGCTAAAACCAGCATCCAATGCTATAGTGTAAGTGGAGTAGTCCAGAAGCTTGAGAGATTTAAGAGACATGCCCGAACCTAGTGAGCTTTCTGCCCAACATAAAATCCAAGTTTTGTGGCATTATATAGTGAATGAAACTAGAACTGGGAAAATGAAAGCATTCGTAAAGGGAACCATACCGGCGTTTGTTGGATTTGCCTTCATTCCGCTCTTCTTTGTATAGACTTCCACTATAGCTGAGGCGTTCTGTATCAGTTCACTTCCGGTTCTATGACCTGCACTTAATATTAATAACTGGTTGAAAAATGCAAAGTTGGGTAATCTTTGTAGAACACTGCTAGTTTAATAACATTCTACTTAAAACTCCAATTTTTGTATATAAATGCTCTTACCTATTCACCTTCTCGTTTAACCCCTCTTTCATTGTGTGTGTTTGTTTTTTTTTGCTCTATTGTAATAAATCCTCTACACTTCCACTTTACTGCACCCACTCACAATATTTTCCGCGCTTGTGCTCAGCAAAAGCAAAATTAATTAACATCACTCATACGCCCTGGTGCTCACAGACAAAGCGCATTCAATTTCATTGTTTGAAATTTCACTAAACACTTAATTAATTTATAAGGACCTTTGTTGCGGTACCTTTGCTTGTAAGCATAGTTAGTTATAGAATTTATTGTTGCTTCCTTTTTGAGGCATTCTCTTTAAATTGACTATTTTTATGTATTCTGTTTGCCTTTAATAGGCTGCTTTACAGCGCGCATTTCTATGAGTCTATTTGTTTCTATTCTCACTCTCTATCTCCTTCGCTCTTTCTCGACTTTCTTCACTCGACTGCGCATATATATGCACATAAATCAACTGTAATGTTTTCGCTGTTCATTTGCCGCATAATTGGCATAATTATGCAGTTAGACAGGCGGAAAATGAAAAAGAAAAGCGAAAGATACGAGTATACTAAAAAAAAAAAATTTTAAATAAAATAACGCTTTCGCTTGAGAAAATAAATATATTGCTTTTAGGCAATTTCTCATTCGCTGTGTAAAATTGAGACGGTATATCATTCAGGCATTCCAATAGCTGTCTCAGTGGAATTTGTTTAAATATTTTAGCTGATAACAAATATGTTTGTTTGTATGTCCTTTCGCAAAACTCTGCCACCCCTCGTAAATAAGTATATGTACGTACATACATAATTGCGTACTTGACGAGGGTCGACTTTTGCCCGGCGCTTGATGTTATAATTAAGAGTACTTGAAAATTTCAAAATTATGCTGTAACTTGAAACAACTCGTAAAATGCCATGGCGAAAAGTAAAGTATATTTGATAAATTTTTATTTTTTGGCAAATTTTTAGTAAAAACAAGTAAGAGCAGCGCTGTCTTCGGCTATGCCGAAGGCTTCATACCTTTCATGAACATCTGCAAATTTTACTTTGACAGATTACTGCTTTTGAATACATCTGCATACATCGATAGAGGAGTTACA